AAACATATTCTTTTATCTGTCAGCCCTTCAGAAGCTTTCTCACACCATGCCACCTGGCCTATAAATTGACTAAATAATAGAGTATTTTGGGGAATCATTTCCTTGGGGGTGAAAATAATTAATACACATATGTTTTTATCTGCCAGTCTTTTAGAAGCTTTCTCACACCATGCCACCTAGCCTATAAATTGTCTCTATAATAGAGTATTTTTTTGAGGTCCAACTGATTTTGGGGAATCATTTCCTTGGGGGTGAAAATGAATTTATAAACATTTTTGTGTATCTGCCAGCCCTTTAGAAGCTTTCTCACACCATGCCACCTAGCCCATGAATTGTCTCTGTAATAGAGTATTTTTTGAAATATAAATCATTTAGGGGAATAATTTTTTTGGGGGTGAAAATGAAGTTTTATTTATATTTTTTTATCTACCACCCCCTTAGAGATTTTCTCAGTATATGCTATTTAGCTCATTAATTAGGGGAGACTAGGGAGGCTTGAGACTAGGGAGGAATGAGACACTACATTTATTTACTAAAATCGGGTATGCAGAGCCATCTGTTGGTTACTGGTGAATAACTTTAGTCAAGTCTCTCACCGCTTGGCCAGCGAACCGGCGAGAATAATTAGTAGAACATTGTTGTTAGTGCACGTGCAAAATGGCTGCCAAAACTAAATTTTAATTTTGTGATATCGTTGTAGTTTGCAGCAAGTTATAGTGAAAATTTGAGTTGATTTTGAGGCATTGTGAACGCAGGTATGTTGTGAATTATTTATATAGGTATCTCATAAAGTAGAAGTTTAAAAAGTATTTTAGGTTAGATTATTTTATGAAATGCTGTATAGGGAGATATGAGACAGCTGTTTTGGGGAGACATGAGACGTCTCATACCTCCCTATGTCGCGGTTTATAAAATTCTATGATCTAAAATTCCGGTTAAACATATGATTGACTGGATTATTAGTATTCTTGGACAATTAAAAAATGCTAACTGGATAATATTGTTCCAGATGCAATATGCCCCATTTCTGGATTAAGAAAACGAAACGAATAGTCCGTCCTCCTGATTTGATGAAAACCGCAGTGGAAGAAGTTCTTGGAGGAGCAAAATTACGCGCAACTGCAAGGAAATAGGATATAGACAAACAAACGCTTAGCAGATATGTGAAAAAAAGGAATTTGGATGACCCTGCTGAAAACATTACGAATTCACCTGATTTTAAAACTGCGTTATTGTTTACTCATAAAGAAGAGGCTATGCTGTCGGATTATCTAGTCCGTGCTTCGCAAATGCATCATGGTTTAACAGTTACATGCGCACGTCAACTAGCCTTTCAATTTGCTAAGGCTAACCATAAAAAATATCCTATGAAATGGGATGAAAAATCAATTGCTGGCTACGACTGGTATCGAGGTTTTAGACAACGCCACCCCGAGTTATCGCTGAGGACTCCAGAGTCAACCAGTTTGTCACGATGTACGAGTTTTAATCGCACAAATGTTACCACGTTTTTCAACAATTTGGAATCGGTCCTAAAGCGCGAAAAGTTTGAATCTCATCAGATCTGGAACATCGATGAGACAGGGCTTACAACTGTACACAAACCACCCAAAGTCCTGGCAGCGAAGGGCGTTAAACAAGTTGGAAACGTCACGTCTGCTGAACGTGGCACATTAGTAACTGCCTGTTGTGGTATTAGTGCTGGAGGAAGATTCATCCCGCCGTTTTTCGTCTTTCCAAGAGTACATTTCAAGGACTATATGTTAAGTGGCGCTTTTCCAGGGAGTGTTGGAATTGCTAATTCCAGTGGATGGATGTCTTCCGAAAACTTTGTTGTTTTCCTGGACCACTTCATAAAGCATAGTGGTTGTTCCGTGGAAAATAAAGTATTGCTACTGATGGATAACCATGAGAGCCATATTTCCGTTAATTCCCCGAGGAAAGCAAAAGAAAATGGAATAGTGATGTTCACGTTTCCACAACACTGCAGCCCTTGGACGTATCGATTTACTTCCTCTTTAAGAATTACTATAATTGGCAGTGTGCATCATGGATGGTTTCCAATCCAGGTCAAACTTTGTCCATTTACAATATTGCTGCTTTAGCTAGTCAAGCGTTCGAATTAGCTTTCACACCAAAGAATATTTTATCCGGTTTTTCAGCGACTGGCATTTATCCGTTAAATCGCAATGTGTTTACTGAAATTGATTTTATGTCTAGCGCAGTAACCGATCGACCACAGGAAACATCAACTACAATTTTAGAAGATGCAGCATCTACAGGGTGGCCAAACACGTGACGTCATAAAAAAAAATTAGATTCCCCACATCGAGAGGAACCCAAATCACCCCCATATATATGGTCCGATTTTGTTTAGTTTAGGAGTTATGACTTTTTTTCGGATTTTTCGAGAATTTTTGAGTTCTGTGTTTATTTTTACCATAACTTCGTTAATAATTGTGATAAATGCCTGCTTTTTCCACGATTATGTAGCTAAGACCTAAGGCTTAACTATCGTATAATCATTCAAGTCATGTAACTAATACTACTTTTTAATTTTTTTCAAAATCTTCGAACATAACAAAAAAGTAAAAAAGTGCAACAACTTTGAACGTTTATAAAAAATTGAAAAAACATGTTCTTACTATTCGTAAGTATCTTAAAAACTTCCTTACGGTATCAGCTATTTACCGTAAAAATTTCATCAACCTAGCTTTACTACATGCTACCGTAATTGTGGCTCAAATAGAACCGAACCCAAAATTGGATAACCCTCTGCTCAATAGAAATTGTTAGTTTCGGAAAAAAAAAATTGCAAAAACCACAAAAACACGTTTGATTTTTACTGAACAGCAGATTATTATTCATTTATGTTATTTACAAGAGGTTTTCAAAATGTCTGCCTCTAACAGAAATGCACAGTGTACACCTACGTATGAAATTTTGTTTTAAATCTCTAAATGCTTGTGTGTTGTTTTTCAACACATGTGTCGCTTCTTGAATTTTGTTCCTCAATGAATTTTCATTTGCACATTCTTGGGCGAATGTTATGTCTTTAAAATATCCCCAAACAAAAAAATCAATGGGGTTGAGGTCAGGGGAGCGTGGAGGCCATCGTATCGGTCCGTTTCGTCCGATCCATCTGTCTGGGAACCTTTCGTTTAAGTAGTTTCGCACGATCGTTGCGTTGTGGCATGGTGCACCATCATTCTGGAACACCATGTTCCGTCTGGCTTCCAGGCTTGAATCTTCCAGCAATAATGGTAGGCTATTTTCAAGGAAGCTTTTGTAGGCTACCGAATCCAACCTTGACGACAGTTCAAATGGACCGATAAATTCCATATTGAATATTCCTGACCACATGTTCACACTAAAACGGTGTTGAAATGTCGACGGCCTTGACTGGTGGGGGTTTTCAACAGCCCAAGTATGTAAATTATGGATATTGAATATCCCTGTTCTTTCAAAACGTGACTCGTCAGTTCATAAAATTTTATCAAAAAAATCGGGATCCTCTCGTTGTCTTCGCAGCATTGTCTCGCAACCAACAGAGGACACGTCATCACCACCGACCAGCCACGTCATCTACGGCACAGGACACGTCAGCCGTTCTGGTATAAATAACCCCGAAAGGCTAAGTCACCTGCAGACGAAAAAGAGGCCATATCAGCCGAAACCTCGTGCTCTAAAAAATTGGATATTCCGGGACTCTGCTTTGCATACTGATTTGGACTTTGTTTGCTAAGAAGTTTGTGATGCATTATATGTTGCGTGAATATGCAGAAATGCATTATTATTATGGAGTTGCTCAAGGTAACGGCGCTTTAGCAGCTCAGCTGTACCGGGAACAACTTATACGCCGAGGCGGACCACAACCTGAGCATTACCCAGACCACCGTGTTTTTATTAACACACATAACACTTTCATGGCAGGCCGCATTCCAGGACGAGGAAGCAATGAAGGATATCCTACAGCTGATCCGGATCGCAGAGAAGTAGTACTTGAAGAAATTAGTCGGAATCCCTCAACGAGTACGAGATCTATGGCACAAAACCTTAGAATAAGACGAACATCGATACAAAATATTCTTCATGAAGAAGGTTATCATGACTATCATGTTCAAAGAGTTCAAGCGTTGATGCCTTCAGATTACCAGTTAAGAGTGGATTTCTGCGAGACAATGCTGCGAAGACAACGAGAGGATCCCGATTTTTTTGATAAAATTTTATGGACTGACGAGTCACGTTTTGAAAGAACAGGGATATTCAATATCCATAATTTACATACTTGGGCTGTTGAAAACCCCCACCAGTCAAGGCCGTCGACATTTCAACACCGTTTTAGTGTGAACATGTGGTCAGGAATATTCAATATGGAATTTATCGGTCCATTTGAACTGCCGTCAAGGTTGGATTCGGTAGCCTACAAAAGCTTCCTTGAAAATAGCCTACCATTATTGCTGGAAGATTCAAGCCTGGAAGCCAGACGGAACATGGTGTTCCAGAATGATGGTGCACCATGCCACAACGCAACGATCGTGCGAAACTACTTAAACGAAAGGTTCCCAGACAGATGGATCGGACGAAACCGAACGATACGATGGCCTTCACGCTCCCCTGACCTCAACCCCATTGATTTTTTTGTTTGGGGATATTTTAAAGACATAACATTCGCCCAAGAATGTGCAAATGAAAATTCATTGAGGAACAAAATTCAAGAAGCGACACATGTGTTGAAAAACAACACACAAGCATTTAGAGATTTAAAACAAAATTTCATACGTAGGTGTACACTGTGCATTTCTGTTAGAGGCAGACATTTTGAAAACCTCTTGTAAATAACATAAATGAATAATAATCTGCTGTTCAGTAAAAATCAAACGTGTTTTTGTGGTTTTTGCAAATTTTTTTCCGAAACTCTATTGAGCAGAGGGTTATCCAATTTTGGGTTCGGTTCTATTTGAGCCACAATTACGGTAGCATGTGGTAAAGCTAGGTTGATGAAATTTTTACGGTAAATAGCTGATACCGTAAGGAAGTTTTTAAGGTACTTACGAATAGTAAGAACATGTTTTTTCAATTTTTTATAAACGTTCAAAGTTGTTGCACTTTTTTACTTTTTTGTTATGTTCGAAGATTTTGAAAAAAATTAAAAAGTAGTATTAGTTACATGACTTTAATGATTATATGATAGTTAAGCCTTAGGTCTTAGCTACATAATTGTGAAAAAAGCAGGCATTTATCACAATTATTAACGAAGTTATGGTAAAAATAAACACAGAACTCAAAAATTCTCGAAAAATCCGATAAAAAATCATAACTCCTAAACTAAACAAAATCGGACCATATATATGGGGGTGATTTTTGTTCCTCTCGATGTGGGGAATCTAATTTTTTTTATGACGTCACGTGTTTGGCCACCCTGTATATCGAAAACCGGCGTGCAAGAAGAAATTTTGAACTATACAAACATTCAAGACGACGCCTCAACGTCAAAAGTCCACGTGCAAGATCGCGATTTAAACACTAAACAAAATTTTGTTAGTCCAGAAATTTTGCGACCCCTTCCGAAGGCAGGCCCACGAAAACGGATAGCAAAGCGGAAATGTGGTTCCTCAAGAATTCTTACCGACACACCAGAAAAAGAAGCAATAGAGGCTGAAGCAACTGCTCGGAAGATAAAAAAAGTTGTTCCGTTGAAACATGACGATCTTTTATCAACGACAAACAAACAACAATCTCGACAGAAACATGCAACCCCACCACAGTCTTCTTCAAATGATGAAGAGGAAGAAAGCGAGTTGGGCGGAAGCAGCGAAGATATTTCAGATGTTGAAAGCTACGAAAGAGAAATGCTTCAGATTAAAGCTCTTGAGGATGTCAAAACCCTCCAAGTGGGAGACTTTGTTTTGGTTAAGTTTTGCACAAAGACTTCAACTATGCATTATGTGGGTCTGGTAATATCAAAGGAAGATGTTGAATACGAGGTAAAATTTTTACGTCGTCACGGAACCACTTGGAAATTTAGTTATCCGCCAGTGGAAGATATTTCTTCAGTACGAGAGCAAGATATTATTTTGAAATTACCGTTTCCAAAAAATGTAGGTGGAACAGAAAGAGTTAAATCTACTCTGACATTTGGTCTGGACTTCCAATATTATCAAAATGTTCGTTGATTTTCCTTATTATTGGCATTATTATTTGTTTAATTAATTAATAGACAGTTTTCGTTGTTGATTAATATTAATAAACTTCTTGGGTTGTCGATTTTATTTATGTACTTTTTATTTCTCCAACAATTAATAAACGTTTCCCAAAAACTTACAATGTCTCAGTGCTCCCTAAAACTTGTCTCAACGCTCCCTTGCCTAGGGAGCCTTAAGACAATTTACACCATTTGGTTGAAATACATTTAAACAATTTGAATAATATTTTGGAAGCATGAAATAGTATGGGAAGTTTAACTAAATCGCACACAATTCATTTGCTCTATATGTAATCTTCAAATTCCAAATTGTATAATGTATATAAAATAAAATTCATTTTTTGTCTCAAGTCTCCCTAGTCTCCCCTACTTACTTTCAATACCATACAGGTATATACAATAATCCGTGAAAGTGAAAATTCGAAGAAAGGTTTTGGGTTAACTCTTGTTTCTGCGAATTATTTAATTACGATGGAAAATGATTCTTCCTATAGGGGTGCTTATTCTCGTACATATACAGGGTGTCCGCAAAGTTGGGGTTTTCCTTTTCAGAAACAACTACCCTTGAAATAACAAAGGTAATGTGTATTGAAACGAGGGCGACCAAGTAAAAAAAAAATAAAGGAAAAAGTACTCACTCTCCAGTTGACGAGAATGGCTAAGTACGTCTCTGCCCGAAATCATACCGCTCCAACAGAAAATGAAATCAGCTGATGCGCTACCGAGCAGACGCAGGCAAACAAGAAAGGCAAAATGTTGCGTAAAAAGTCTAGGTATTGCATCCCGTCCAATCGATTTGGGAGAATAAATGGTCCAATGAGCATACCGTTCACCATTTTCTACTGACCAAACATGAGTGTTGCGAAAGTTATTCACCCCATTACGCGTGAACGTAGATTCGTCTGTCACCAATATACACTTTAAAAAGTCCGGATTATTGTCATGTTGATGTAACAACCACTCACAAAACCGCACTCTTGCTGGAAAATCGTCAGGTTGAAGGGCTTGTACACGTTGGACGTGAAACGGATACAGCCCCTCTTCACGCAGCGTTTGCCACACTTTAGTTTTTGATACTTGCACTTCTCTAGCCACGTCTCTAGTGCTTGTTGAGGGATTCTCGTCTACGCGATTACCTCTACACGCGTGACCGTAACCGTCGGTTGAAGGTTGCATACTGACCTGACACACTGACCCCGACCCAGTTCTGTCGTCGGGTTGAGCTAGTGTCCTAGTGCCACTCGGGGATGTCGCGGCTACAGGACGGTATTCAGATATTTTTGATGTTGCAGAGCCCTTTATCTCGGTTCCCTTAAGACGTTGGTGTATATGGTACTAAGAAAAATTGCTTATGTTTTCAAGATCTACACGTCGTGTAAAGGAAAACCCCATCTTTGCGGACACCCTGTATATTTATTGTTGCGAGCTGTTAGCTGTATCGTTCACAATCACACTCTAGTCGAGGACGTCGACGCCACTGGTCATTCGGATATCTTCGGCAAATTGTCCGCTAAATTTTGTCTGCCAACTTCACACCGGTATAGAAAGCAAACAGGATGTAGGGGGAAACGTGTTCCTCTTGCAGACTGTGATTTACTTTCTATGTTCAATGAAACATCAGTGGGAAATATATTTATCTTTGTTATACGTGACAACAATGTCAAGAATCGCAGTGCAAATATTTATCATCGTAAAAGTGGTATTATGCAGTAGAATAAAAAAATTACTATGCGTCATGTGTTGCTAGTGTAGAAGACCACATCCGGATGAAAAAACTAGTAAGGAGATTACGATATTAAGGATTCCAAGGTGGTTAAAAACCTCAAAACATACGACAGGCAACGAAGCATGTTGCCAAGTATTCGGAAAAGTCGTGACAATTCCAGTGAAAGAAAAATGAATACATGACAGCAGACAAAATTGAAGAAAACAGTAACTTAGAAGATAAGAAAATCGCACAGCAATAGCTACATTCACATTCAAGTCGACAGTCAAGTTGAAGAAAACACAAACACCCACGACAATTTACTATTAGATGTCAGAAATAAATTAGCTACCGAGCTGGCCAAGAACGAAGGGCTGAGTAGCGCTATAATGTCATTAAACTGCAAGATAGAGAAACTAACACAGAAGCTGAAGTACAAAGATAAGACTATAGAACAACGTGAAGGAATTATAAATAATGTAAAATGTAAGACAGTCGTTACTGATCGGTATGTGCAGACGGACCCAAGTAGTAGAAACAGTATCCATGTACAGACTCAAGCAGTCACATCAAATAGCACACAAACTCAGACACAACTAACACCGATAAAAAACCAACCTAAAAGGGATAAAAATCACCTAGACTGTATCAAAGCAAATCCTACAGAAGCAAATACCACAGAAGACAAGAGGTGTAAGCTATTAATCCTGGCAGATGAGCAAGGGCGGAATCTGATACATATACTTCGAGGAGTTCTTCCCTTGGATCAGTTTGCGGTTACATCGATGTTACATCCCAATTCCCAACTGAACAATATTATCAAAGATGCACGAAAACTAACAACTGATTTCACGAAGTCCGACTATGTACTCATCATGGACGGTTCTAATGATGCGCTGACAAAAGGTTTCATTCAATGTGAACCTCTCAGAGAAACTTTAAAAGTACTGAAAGCTACCAACGTAATAATAGCTGCAGTACCGAAATAGAGATGTCATAGGCCCGTTTTAAATAACATTATAAGAGATATAAATGACCAGCTGCACCGAATTTGTGAACAAAATGGAGTTCAACTTCTTAATCTAACCCAAATCTACATCACTACTACAGGGAGAGGTCCAATGTACTGAATAATAAGGGTAAACGTATCATTTGCAATAACATAAAACTATTGGTAAGCACAAAGAGACCAACTGAATCTTCCATAGAAAGTGAAATTCAGAATGGAACAAGAACACATAGGGATATAGGGACTGTAGGAAGTATGCACCATCCGAAAATCGATCATCCAAATATAAGTGCACCCAAACCATCATTCCCAAAGTTGATTGGAAATCTAAATACCGAGAAAAACTTGGAATCCTCTAAGGAATATAGCTTACCATCCACATCGCTACAAAAAGAGCCACTTTTTAATGAATAGCAGTCAAATTTTCTATCAGAAATCCGTCAAGGAGTCATAACGTAAAAATAGTGCATCTAAATGTTCGCAGCATCCAGAATAAATATACTAAGTGACATATAAATCCAAACACCCAGTTTAAACGATTTTATTTTAATAAAAGTTGGTGAATGTATTTATCTTACTGTAAATAACAATTGAAAAAATGTTCAGCCTTATCAGTTGGACATTCCGGTTTTTATACTGCTTTTTTTTAATTCACTAACGCTCTAAAAATGAAAATTTCAGCCGCAGTAAAGAATCAACGTTGGCGGTTTTTTTTTCTTGACATCCTTTACAATCGGTTACGATGCCTAGAGTACGGAGACCTTTACGATTTCGTAAACGTGAGTTTGATAGGGGCCGTATAGTGGGACTTCGGGAAGTTGGACTTTCTTTTCGGGCAATTGCAGTTAGAGTGCAAAGAAGTGTAGACACTGTGGTTAGGTGTTATCAGGCATGACTTCGAGGAGGCCGTACGCAAAGAGCAAGGGGCACTGGACGCCGCCGTAGAACAACAGACCGTGAAGATCGCCGCCTAAGATTATTGGCCTTAAGGGACCGTTTCTCCACTACCAGGTCCATTGCAAATGAATGGTTTAGAGAACACGGAAGACCTATTGGCATGCGAAGTGTTTACCGACGAATGAGAAGTTTTGGCTTGTTTTCATACCGGCCACACTGGGTCCTATAGCTTATGGTTCCAGGTCACCTTTAATCTTCATCAGAGGTAACATGAACGCGCAGCGTTATATCCACGAAGTTCTAGAACCCCATCTTTTACCCTATCTTGACACCCTGGCAGATCCAACTTTCCAACAAGATAATGCCCGACCACATGTTGCAAGAGTCACAATAGACATCTTTCAACATAACGATGTCACATTGTTACCATGGCCACCAAGATCTTGATGTCACATTGTTACCATGGCCACCAAGATCTCCCGACTTATCCCCAATTGAGCACGTGTGGGATATGATGGGTAGGAGATTGCTCAATTTGCAACGTCCTCCTCAGACTCTATACGTAGAAGCACTTCGAGAGGAGTTGGTGGTTGCCTGGAATGAGATACCACAGGAGGACATTGACCACCTGATCAGAAGCATGCCTAGGCGCGTTGTAGAGAATGCGTAGCACATCAGGGTGCATCCACACATTATTAAAGGTCAAAGGGCTTTAAAGCAGTGCAATCATTTTGAAATTTTTATCATTTACTTATTATGCTTCATTAAGTACTTACACAAAATTTTATTAAAATAAAACCATTTAAACTGGGTGTTCGGATTTATGTCACTTAGTATATGGCGCCCTAGAACTGTATGTAGATGAAGCATCACCAGATATTCTTTGTGACACCGCAACATGGCTAACAACGACTGCTGCAGCTGTCGCTAACATTCAGAACTACAAACTTGTAAGCAGCTTCTGCAGAAATCGATATAAACATGGTGGATGTGCCGTATTTGTTCGTCACAGTGCTGAGGCTAAAGATATCTTACTCCCAGATGAGTATTCACAAGAAAAGCACATTGAATGCTGCGGCTTGCAGGTTAGATTTGGACCTTCTAATGAAAAACTCGTAGTGATATGTGTCTATCGGCCTCCCCCAGAAGACACAAAAATTTTCCAGGAGAACTTGACTTGACTCTTAAATCGAATAGCTACCACAAATAAAAACAGTTCTTTGTGGAGATCTTAATATCTATTACTGTAAACCGTCAATAAATAGTCTACGACTCAATGACATCCTACAGTGCTTCGGTCTAACAAACTACTGTTACGGACCAACTCGCATACCATCAAATAAAACCACTGGTCTGTCCAAAACATCAATCGATTACATGACCACGAACATCAACTCAGAAAATCTGAAATGTGCCATAGAAGATCCTCAAATATCCGACCATGCGGCGCAAATCTTAACGCTATCTTTCTTTATCGCCTCCAACAAGTCTCCCGTCCAATCTTATACTGTGAGGAAAACCGATGATTGTAATCTCGAAGAACTGCGATTAAGTCTCTCTCAAGAATCTTGGAATATTGAAGAGCCTGATATAGATGATGCTTTCGAAAAATTCCTCAACACCTTTCTGGGGCATTTCGATAGGACAGAAAGTTATTACGTGCAGACCTTTAACAAAACCTAAATCATCGATAACACCGGAGTTAAAACAGTCGAGCAACAATCTACGAAACTTGTACAAACTTACAAGAGAGAACGAGCAAGATATGAATCTGAAGCAAACGTATATTGAAAGAAAAAAGCAACATCGCAAACTGATCTCAATTGCCAAGCAGCAATATAACTGCAACGAAATTAAAACAGCTGATAATAAGACAACAAAGAAATAGTCAACCAGGAGCTTGGACGTAAAAAGAACTCTGGAGTAATTTCACTTAAAAATGACAACGGTGGAGATATGCGACAGATTAGTGTGCCTGACACTTTTTGGAAATATTTTTCAAGCACAGTAGTAAGTAAGCTTCAACAACACTTCAAAGGAGTCTCCCCACTACCAACAACAGAAGTGGAATTAATCATATCCAACCTTCCAACAAACAATCGTGTGGTAGTGATGGTGTAACTACTCGTGTTATTAAAAGTGTTTTAAATGAAATTGCAGGTCCTCTCACTACTTTAATTAACATGTCTGTCTATCAACACAAATTTCCTAAATCCCTGAAGCTTGCGATAATAGTTTCCCGTTCCAAAAAGGGAGATCCTACTCAAGTTGATAGTTACCGCCCCATATCATAATTGTCAATCTTTTCTAAAATAATCGAAAGAGCGATTTATTCAAGAATTTTGGGATATGCTGAAAAGTTCAACATTATCCCAAGCTCGCAGCATGGATTTAGGAAATTTCATTCAATAGAGACAGCTACTTATGAGTTTGTATGTCAGATATACAGGGTGTCCCGAAAAAAGTGTGCAATACTCTACCAGCGGTTTCTAGAGCTTAAAATAGGAAGAAACGTTTATATAAACATAGGTCGACAAAGGGCGCTACGGTCTTTTAAAGGGGCTCCCCTGAACATGGTTTTTCCTTAATATTTCCGAAACTTGTTGAGATAAAGACATAAAATTTCGTATTCTAGCCTAGTTTTGTTTGGAAGCGTATGTAACAGGGACGGAGGTTGTTTTACCCCCAAAATTTTTGTGTGATTCTATTTTTGACATTCAATTTTAGAATTTGAAAATTTAGGGTTTTCTACATAAAAAAGGTACTCTTATTGAATATCGATAAATTGGGCCATTTTTGAATAAAATCAAACTAGAAAATTTGTCACATGATAGGAAATGTACTGCGAATTTAAATGAATTGTTGATTATACATAGTTAGCCATGACTGCAAAAGTTATTTTGAATCGTTGACTTATTTTGACGTTAAGCTGACATTGTTAGCAGTGTAAAATTACTAGATTGAAATCAAAATTTTTATTAAATCGATTTAAAATGCCAAGATTTACAGACAGAGAACTGACTGACACGCATTTTGTGTACGGGTTTTGCAATGGCAGTTCATTGGCAGCCGTAAGAGGATATCAAAGAAGATTTCCCAATCGCATAGTACCTGGACGTCGAATGTTTCTGATATTCACCGGAATTTGTCAGACCATGAAAGTTTTCAGCGGATGCAGGGCTCAGGAAGGCCACTGGGAAATCATCGTATGGATATTGCTTTAAATAATCCGCAAATAAGCATACGAAATGTTTCAGAAATTATGGATATACCTCGATCAATAGTAAGAAAAATTTATGAATACATATTTGATAGTTATCCTAAAAATAATAATTTTAGATAGGAAGAATGACAAGAATGCAAGGATTACATCCTTATCATTTTAAATGGGTGCAGCATTTAACGGAGGCAGATTTTTTACCACGAATCGAGTTTTGCCAGTGGATATTAGCAAATGAAAACACTACTCCTAGAATATTATGGTCGGCTGAGTCAATATTTACTAGGAATTCTGTGTGTATCTTAACTTTCTTCAGCATGAGCTCATGGATATAATAACATTGGTTGTGCGCCAGCACTATCAAGAAAATATGTTTTTTCAACATGATGGCGCCCCTGCACATTTTGGACGCAATGTTCGTAATTGGTAGAATGTCAATTTTCCCGACAGGTGGTTAGGCCGAGTAGGTCCTATAGCGTGGCCTCCACGTTCACCTGACCTAAATCCATTGGATTTCTATCTTTGGGGGTCATTAAAAGACCTAGTCTACTTGACTGAATTAAATACTCAAGAAGATTTACTTCAAAGAATCCATCAGGCTGCAAATGAAATAAGAAGAAAAACGATTTCCACTTTTCGGGCTACGCAATCATTAGTTCGTCGAACGAGACTCTGTATCCAACAAGATGGGAATTTATTTGAACACTTATTGTAAAGCTAGTTTTCAGTATATCCAACTGTATGTCTTCTTTTTTTAAACAAATTTCAATTTCGTTCGTAGAAAAAATTTATTTCTTTGCCTGAATGTTGGCTATGCTGCAATAGAAATATGTATGTATTTAAACAATATTTACCAATTATTA